CGGCACCTCAGAGGGGATATGATAACATTATACAAATACATTCAGGGCCAGTACAAACCTTTATCTGGAAATCTATTCATAAACAGGGCTATACATAGGATATGAGGTCACATATTTAGGCTGGAAGAAAGGAGATTTCATCTAAGGCAAAGAAAAGGGTTTTTTTTTTACAGTAAGAGCAATAAGGATATGGAATTCTCTGCCTGAAGAGCTGGTTTTGTCAGAGTCCATACAGATGTTTAAACTGCAATCGGATAAATACTTGCAGAGACATAACATACAGGGATATAATTTCTAATTAGTGGGGTAATAGCTGCTTCATCCAAGGAGACATCTGACTGCTATTTTGGGGTCAAAAAGGCTTTTTTCCCTAGTTTGTTGCAAAATTGGAAGTGCTTCAGACTAGATTTTTTGCTGAACTTGATGGATGCAAATCTCTTTTCAGCTATGTAACTATGTAACTTTTAAGATAATCCCAGTAGGGAGTTTAGAATATGTGTACTACTGGCACACATAGCTATTTTGTTTTTTCAGTTCACATCAGGAAGATTAAAGTCATCCAGGATGATAACTTCACCCTTCAAAGTCCTTTTAGGTATCTCCTCAACTAGTACATTATCTAATTTGTTTATTTGTCCTGGGGGCCTTTAAATCACAGAGACAGACATGGTCTAGGAGATACAGAGGGGTTGGGGGGACCAAGAGATATACAAAAGGAAAGGCGCAAAAGAGGCAGTCATTGGCTGGAGGGGGGGGGAGATAGAGGGGTTGAGGAGTGGGCAGAAGAGACACATGGGCTGGGAAGAGACACAGAGTGGCTGGGGGAGAAAAAAAAGGAGACAGACGTGCTTGGGGGATGACAAAGAGTTGCTGGGGAAGGGGCAAAAGAGACAAACATGGGCTAGGGAGACCAAGAGATACAGAGGCACTGGGGAACAGGCAAAAGAGACAGCGATGCTGGGGGGAGGTAGATAAAGTGACACTTAGGGGCTGTGGGGAGAAAGATACACAGAGGGCTGGGTGGGACAAAGTGACACAAAGGTGCTGGGAAATGGGCAAAATAGAGGTGCAAAGTACAAAATGAAATGTTTATTGACCCAGTCTTATGATGTAAGTAAATTAAATGTTCAGGATATGAGGTCTTTGTGGTATAATATCTGGCGTGTAGTGTGTAAGCACATTCTGCCATGTTCAGTTTCACTCCTTGTTTGTACTTTTTACTTGTGCAATATTTTATTCACAATTTTTTGAGTCTGTATGATAGATACATCTGTCACATAAACAGTGAATACAGATGTATCACATTGATGTTTAAAACTAAAAATAGGATCTAGAAAAATTTAAAAAGCACTTTAAAATCGGGGGGCGGGGCCTGGCAACCAAAATGGCCGGTCGCACACTCTAAGAGCTCCTGCATTACAGAGCACAAACAAGCTACCACATAGCGATCCTCAAACGCTAGCAACTCACGGTGACCAGGGATCCACTCAAGATACCATGAGTAACAGAACGGTACCGGTCCGGCACCGATGCGTGGCGAAACGCCCTATATCGACTATGCGGCCTACAACGGAGCGGAGCCTGAGGTCTGGGGGAGGCGGCCGATCTCCCGACACAAGACCCGCTCGCATGCGTGAAATCAGCACAACCCTGTTACCCCCCCCTCTGGACCGGTGGGGGATATCCCGGTCCTCGCTGGGGACGATCACCCCCACACCAACGTCTGACCAAGCGACTACACCCAAAGCAACACAGGCATATCCAGGCCCACACAAGATGGCGGCACTGACACAGCCTACCACTAAACGTACTCTAATCAAACCTCCCAAGCACTCACGGGAGTTCTTCGACCAGATCTGCACCAGCCTTTGGATAAAGCTCCAGGCTCAGAGACGGCCCTACATGAGGGCGATCAAAGAGGTGGCGGCGTGGATCCGCCCAGCAATCCGGCGCCACTTAGGCTGGAATCCCCCTCGTGTCCCCAGAGTGGCCCACCAGCGGAGCCGGAGGCCAGCACAGAGGGAAACAACGCCAAGTATCCTAGGCACCAGCACTGGTGCTCCCACGCCTCGGAGGGGATCCTGCAAATATGCCAAACCCGCCTACACCTCAGCGGCCCCAACTGCCATCACACAGCAGGGCGCAACCCCTCGATATGACACTCACAATACCGGCCGCACCGCAGTTCGGGAGGCAGAGAGGCTGGATGCCGGAAAGGGACATGGACGGTATGCCCCTCCGCGGCCCATGGGGGAGAGGACATCGATCCACAAGCACAACAAGCAGATCCTGCCTGTTTGCAACTCACCAAACCCAAGCCCGTCTGACCAGCACGGCACGAAGCACCAGCTCCAGGATCATGCTGCACGCCATGAGGCCGCACAAGACATAACCCCGCTGACAACTGTAAGAGCTGGAATCGGGCCCAGGCACTTCACCGACGGGACCAGTTGTACCGGCCACAGAGACATTCCCACACTGGGCATCGGCTGAAAGGCCTCTCACCCTGCCCCACAGCTGACAGACCTTGAACCACCCCATGTGGGCACACTCCACGGCTGTCTCAGCTGCTGCCGGCATACCCTGATATCTGCCGGGTTGGTAACCCTTACATCACTGAACTCTCTTGTATCTGGCAAGGGGAGACTTTTGCCAATGTTAACGTGCATTAGTTGGTACATGATCATTGTGACCTAATTGTAGTTTAACCCTCATTGCCTGTTATATGCCCTGCTCGGATGTCTCACACATAGACGCGATTACCCAGAGAAACGGCCTAATAGGGGGATACACAAAAGCCTGCTAACACTATAGTGAGCCTGTCCTAAAGATCCCTACCCACCACACTTAACGGGCTACCTCGGTCACCCTAAGCAGGTCTCCTTAATTGACCAAAGACCGTCACTGTATGAGATCATTGTGGTCCGCACCCCTAGCGACCCTCATTAAAGAGCCTAATGACATCCCTTACATTATGCAACCACCCCAATTGTATTAGCACAGATTCAAAATACCATATCTGTATCCCACCTCGTAACGCACTGTAATCATTAAGCGCTGCAGGAAACACCCTTGGGGCAAGCAATGCTCAGCCACATAGATGCAAATACTTACCTTACAGATGCATACGTTTATACTTACCTTACAGAAGCATATGTTTGAATTATTAGAAACTTTAGCATAAAATTATATCTATTCATGTGACATAACGTTTCAGTTTTGGCCTGTCTTTAATATAAAAAAGTGCTGTTTTATTGTATGCCATACTGAGTTCAATGCTACTACCCAACTTGCTATTGCTGTTGTGGCATCGCAAGAAAATGTTCACTGTCTTTTCATGCACAAGAAAAATAAAGAATTTAAAAAAAAAAAAAAAAGCACTTTAAAATCAAACCCAGGGAAAAAAAAAACATTTAAAAACATCCCCTTTAAAATTTATGTATTGAAAGTTTTTACATGCTACACATGTTAGTACATCTCCCCTACTCTCAACTGTGCACTAGTTGCAGAGATAAAAATAAACTTAAATGAACACTATGGTCACCTAAATTACTTTAGCTTAATAAAGCAGTTTTAGTGTATAGATCATTCCCCTGCAATTTCACTGCTCAATTCACTGTCATTTAGGAGTTAAATCACTTTGTTTCTGTCTATGCAGCCCTAGCCACACCTCCCCTGGCTATGATTGACAGAGCCTGCATGAAAAAAAAACTGGTTTCACTTTCAAACAGATGTAATTTACCTTAAATAATTGTATCTCAATCTCTAAATTGAACTTTAATCACATACAGGAGGCTCTTGCAGGGTCTAGCAAGCTATTAACATAGCAGGGGATAAGAAAATCTTAATTAAACAGAACTTGCAATAAAGAAAGCCTAAATAGGGCTCTCTTTACAGGAAGTGTTTATGGAAGGCTGTGCAAGTCACATGCAGGGAGGTGTGACTAGGGTTCATAAACAAAGGGATTTAACTCCTAAATGGCAGAGGATTGAGCAGTGAGGCTGCAGGGGCATGTTCTATACACCAAAACTGCTTCATTAAGCTAAAGTTGTTCAGGTGACTATAGTGTCCCTTTAAAAGAACATGCATCACATTGAGAAAGTGCATTGGGCATGCCTGACAGATTTACACATGTGCTGTTGAAAGATCTCTTCACATTGCAACATCCTGACAGGGGGTGAAGAGAGGGAGTCTAATCAGTGGGATCATGCAGAGCAGGCTTTGGTATTTTTAGGGGTTTTCTCTCCTGCTGCACAGTTATACCCTGTTTCTCTCATTAGTTGAATGGTCTGAATTTGAGATTGGTAGGTAGGCAGAGGGGTGGTTGAAGAAACTCCCCTAGCTGAGAGAGGTTCCTCAAACATGTTACATTGGGTATTTCTAAATTCAGGACAATTTTTTTAAACTATTTAGCACAGGTGTGTTTTGGCGGTTGTAGATGCGTAACAGATTTTGGGTCAAAGTCTGAAAAGGTGTGTTTTTTAAATATTTTTCATCAGATTTTGTAATCTTTATATAGTAAATTATATGATATGATGAAAATAATGGTATCTTTAGAAAGACCATTTAATGGCGAGAAAAACTATATATAAAGTGTGGGTACAGTAAATTAGTAAGAGGAAAATTGCAGCTAAACACAAACACTGCAGAAATGTAAAAAGAGCTCTGGTCCTTAACGGTAAGAACATTGAAAAATGGTCTGGTCACTAAGGGGTTAAAACTGCTTGCTGGTTTTAAAAAAATAATTGTCAAGTGATGCATGTCCATTTAAAAAGTGGAGCTCATACAGTAACATAGAAGACAACACTAAAAATGAAAAGACATAAAATGAAAAAACAAAAAGCACAGTGTTTTTTGACCTTTAAATAACTATATAAAACGATGTATACTTATAGAACACAGTAAGCAGGACTCTTCATGCTTCCAGTTATTAACCATAAAAAGAAAACAAGTGAAATACATAAATGGTAAATATATATATTGTATATTGATGATCATGTGTTACACTCACTCCCTAGAGCTATTATAATATTCCTAATAATAATTCCTTATTATAATAAGCCTAATATTCTGCTTCTGTGACGGTAAAGGCAGTCACAAAACCCAGCATACGGTTCTCCAGGCTGAAGATGCAAAATGTCGTTATTGACCCACAATGAAATGGATACAAACTCACACATACACAAGCTTCTTAGTAGAAGTCATTAAGCATTTCCTGAGTCCAAGTTAGCCAATTTGTAGGATGTAGGATATCTAATATGACACCTATAAGCTTGAGCCTTGGAATCAAGGTAAATTCTTTCACATGTGTGAGTTCAAAGCAGTTTTTATTGCTACTCCAGAGCAAGTGTTCATAGGTATCCAGAGTGGATTCATCTGTCTTTTTACTGGTTCGAGTCTCACCACTGCCTTGGCACCGCTCATTCCTCTGTCGTGGTTTCGCTGTCAGAATGTTGATGAAGGATCCCTCAATGTAGTCAGTCCATATAATTAAAAGGACCTATACTTTTGTAATAAGGGAAAATAGAAAAAAAATATTGGTCACTTTTATTAAATGTTTTCTGAAGTGCCTTTGATTGTAATCTTGTTTGAGCTGGGCGCTCGTCGTTCCTTTTTTATTTTTCCCCAAACTACTTTACTCCTACCATGAAATTGTAAAGCCCTGCAGACTATGTTAGTGCTATGTAAAGAACACAGAAACTGTATGTATTCAATCTGCAACTTACTGGATGCAATTCTCATTTTAGCCACATGATGGCACCCCAAACGGTCCAGCACAGGTATTATTGAGCTAATTACATGATTTTGCTATTTCATGACGAAAAGTCATGATTTCATGAAAAACACGGAGGCGAGTATTGCTTAACCCTTTCTTTACTGTCCACCAATAGCAGCAAAGAATACAACAGTAAGAAGAAATGGTAACCACACAACCATACCAAGTCCCAGTATAATAGTCCGCACATCCCCACACATTTCCTCTTTCTTTGGAGATGCGAGACAATAACAACAAAACAGGAACGATGAAACAGTCCAAACCAAATAGAACAGGCGATCCGAAATCCAGCCGGACTCCGATCATGAACCATAACGCAACTGGGACCGATCCATCAGTAAACAAGATTCCAACAGTGAGGGGCCCATCACAGCATTGTCCATAAACTTCCTGGCCACTTGGTGAAGCCGAGAGAGAAGTGCTGAAGACCCTTGATCAACAAGGAATCAACCTGTGAAAACACAAAAGACAGGAGCCGAACGGTTAAATCGGTACTTGAATCAAAGTACGCATGCCAAGACATAATTTTATAACTAGACAGAAGCAACAGCGTGTGCATAATTTATCATAGGCATTTCGAATAATCACGTAACATGAACAGGTTAATAAACGGTTGAAACTATACAAAACCCAGAGCGCATAATGGAAAACCTGCAGGAGAGAATAAACAAACGGGTGGGGTAAATCAGTAAAATAACTATGATGGGTGGGACAATACTCACCTCCATGTCTTTCATAAAATCATGACTTTTCGTCATGAAATAGCAAAATCATGTAATTTTATGTCAAGACACAGAGGCTCATATTGCAAGTTTAAAGCTGATCAATAACTGGAGAAAAAACGTGAGGCAAAGGTCGAAAGTAAAACTCACAAAAGTGGATTCGCGGGACCAGTCGGCCATTCTCATCAGGTCTTCCAGATGTGCACCTGAATTCACAATGGACGTGGCCAATGCCCCCCGGGCTGAGTGGGCACCAAAGATGGACGTATCCACACCGGCCAGAGACATCACCCATTTCACCCAACGAGCCAACGTAGTACTGGACACAGGGGAGAAGGGGCAACGAAGCGAGAGAAACAGCTGGGGAGACGACGTAGCTCAATGTGCGCTCGTTCGAAGTTCATATTCCCGTAGGCAGGCCACCAGACAACAGGCGTAAGCCCCTAAGTAAGCGGCACACTAATGGATGTTGGCCTGCTGGGCAGCCATCAAATCCTTGGTGAGCCGAGGAGATGGTCGATCTGTATGAGTTAATCGTGCAATATGCCCGACCAGCTTCAAACAATAAAGTCAGGAATAGGAGGATCGCAGTCACAGGTGCTGAAACGGGATCCAAGTTCCGAGCCAGGCACCAGCCAGTCCAAGCTCTCCAAGCGGTCCCATAGGCTCGTCTAGTCCCGGGAGCCCATGCGTCAGCCAGGAGGCATCGAGTTGCGTCCAAAACCCCTGAGATTTCCCAGGGACTCACGAAATCCTCCACGCGAGCAGCAGTAACGACCCGTCCGCCAGGAGGGGATGCTGGAGGCCCGATGGGTCCAGGAGGAGGTCCGTGAGTGTTGTGGAGCCCGGGAAGGTATTCTGCCTGGACCACCAGGTTCCTGTCCAAGCAATAGGCCCAGAAGTCCTTCGCCAAGCAGGCCAGGAGTGCAGATTGAGTGCCGCCCATGTGGTTGACGTAGCGGACCGCTGAGATGTTGTCCATGCACAGGCGGATGCATGAGCTGGCAGTCCCGTTTGCAAAACTGCGGATTGCGAATGAACCCGCTAGGAGTTCCAGAGCATTGATGTGGAGGTGGGATTCGTCTGCCGACCAGTGCAATGGACACCCCAGCCGTGGAGACTGGCATCTGAGTCCACCGTGAACTCTGGTTGGGAGCCGAAGATGGCCTTGCCATTCCAAGCAGAGAGGTTGTGGATCCACCAGGTCAATTCGTCTCCGAGTCCAGGGAGATCATGTCCGCATAGGACGCCCCCCCCGCGAAGATGTGTGATCTTCAGGCGCTGGAGGACACGGTAATGGAGTGGGGCTGGGAACACCACTTGGATTGATGCTGCCAGAAGTCCAATGATTCGTGTCAGGTGGCGTAGAGATAGCTGGGTGCGCGTTAAAGTGCGGCGCAGCTCCTTGCGGATTGTCCATATCTTGGAGACTGGGAGGCTCAGTGACTCGGCTTCGGAATCTACCGTGAAGCCATGCGATGTGAAGGAGGCAGGCAGGATTTTTCCCAGTTGAGGAGAAAACCCAGGCGGGAGAGGAGGTCCATTGTCCATTGAAGATGTTTCCGAAGGACTGAACGATCCTGTGCCATGATGAGGATGTCATCCAAATAGACGATTAGCCGGACTCCCCAACTGCGCAGCCAAGCCATGGCGGGGCGCATCAGTTTCGTGAAGCACCAAGGGGCTGACGACAGTCCGAAGGGGAGGCACGTGAAGCGCTGTCTCCTTTCCAGAGGAAACGCAACAGGTCCCTGGAAGACTCGGCCACTGGGACCGTCAGGTAGGCATCCTTCAAGTCCAACTTTGCCATCCAGTCTCCCTGAAGAAGTCTCGCAGGAGATGGATGCCCTCCATTTTGAAGTGACGGTAGCGCACCAGGGTGTTTAGGGCACGGAGGTTGATAACAGGGCGCGTTTGCCCGCGTTTCTTTTCCACTACGAAAATATTGCTGATCACCCCTGTAGAGGACACCGGGGCCAGCTCTATCGCCCCTTTTGCATGGAGGGATGTTAGTTCTGCGTCTATCAAGGCGCGGTCGTTTGTAGAAAGCTAAATAGGGCGAAGCGGGGGAACGTGACATGGATTGTCGACCAGTTTGATGTGAAACCCTCGAACTGTGGTCAGAACCCAGACATCTGAGGTGATGGTTGACCAGGTGTGGAAAAACTGACGGAGTCCGCCCCCTACACACATATTGGAAGAAACATGAGGTAGATGTAAGCTTACCGTAAGGGCGAATGGAACCGGGGTTCCCTCTGAAGCCTCTGGAACGTCATTGTCTTCCACGAGAGGGGAAGAAAGGAGACTACGGTCTCGTCTCCTGGTAGGGTGTTCTCTGAGTGTAGGAGCCTCTCCCGATCCACGAGCATGGTAATTGGAGCGGCCGGACATACGACCCCTGAATCTGCTGGCCCTGGTAGTGACCCGCCCCTGAAACACCCTCTTCATGGAGGATTGGGCCTTATCTAGGGCTGTGAATGCACCCACAAAGCGCCCCAGGTTCTTAATAAAGGAGTCCCCAAATAAGAGGCCTTGGGCGTCCTTGCCTGCCTCTGTGAGGGCGAGGTTGGCCAGTTTGGGTTCAATCTTGAACAGAATGGCTTTACGCCTTTCAATGGACAGGGAGGTGTTTACACTGCCCGCAATGCAGATAGCCCTCTGCACCCAACCACGTAGTTCCTCCGGGTCAACCTGCCCCTTCTCGGCTCTGGCAATTTCAGCTAGATCAAACAGTTTGGCCAAAGGGCCAAATATGTCAAGATGTTTATCTTGGCTCGATTTAAGTGCTGAATCTAGACCCTTGCGGGGATTTCAACCCATTTTGGAGAGGAATTGGGTCATCTTAGGGTCCACTACAGGGGTCTCACAGACTTTGCAAGGTACCAATGGTCTTGGGCATTCCGCCCTAAGTTTATTACGTGCCGCCTTACTGAGGGGGCGTTGTACCCAGTTTTCAAGGTACCGTGCCACATGGTCCGCCGGGAGCCATTCCGCCGACCTCGGATGATGGAGAGCATCCGGGTCAAACATGGGTCCCCCGGACGGATCCATGAGGGTGGGGCCCGCAGTAGCGGGGGAGTCGCTCCTAGGGCCACTCACAACCCCCGCGGAGTGAGCAGGGCCAAAAGGGTCAGAATTCTGCCCACAAAATTTGTCATTGGAGTCATCCACAGACTCAGTGTCAGCCTCCTCACTAGACTCGATTTCTGAGTCGGAGTTGCTCTCTTTTTGTGCTCTAGCACATTTCCACTGCCGCGCCCGTTCTGCCTGGCGCGGAAAGGCTCTCTTGAGTGACATAGGCACGCTGTCATGGGTGGCTGTAGTCACACCAGTTGTGTTGGTTCTGGAGACATGGTGATTTGAGTGCTTGGATTTGGCAGTAGCCTTTTTTGGTGCCTCCCCTACAGGGTCAGTAGCCGGTCGTGCTAAGCGTGTCGGCGTGGCCGAACCTTCTGCGGCCAAAGGGTGTGCAAGTAAGGCCTGTGATATGGTCTGGGAGAGGACAGAGGACATGGAGCCCATAGCAGCCATAATGGCGTCAGAGACTGAGCGCTGTAGCGCCAGGGACTGGGTCTCATCAGACTGGGGCATAGGGTCCTCAACAGAAGGAGAAGATGGGTTATCTAAAACCTGGGGCATGTCCATCTCCCAAGGTGAGGAGGGTCTGGCAGGCACTTTAGATCTGGGCATGGTAGTGCTGTGAGATATTCCCCAACAAAATTTTAACAACAGTATAACCAGTATGAGATAAAGCTAAATCAGAGCAGAGGAGACTAGCAGGAGTTAATCACCCCAAACTAGTATAACCTAAGAGGGTATAGATAGGGAACTCACCAGGGTCCAGACCGGCAGATAGGAAGAGAACATGCACAAAGTCAGAGAGACAGGAAGTCAGGAAATGGACGCCGGCAATCTCGCGAGATTCACGGCCAAAATACAGTCAAATCGTCAAGTTAAAGAGCCGAACGTTCAATGGGATAAATAGCTGAAAGTAATGAATAGGAAACAGGCGAATGGACTGAACGTTCGATGAAAATTAGCCGAACGCGACAAAACAGACGAATAAAGCTAAGTGTTAAAAAAAAAAAAAACGAACGGCATGTGTTCATGAAGAATTTACCAAACTGGTTAGAATTCTTTCATGAAAACAGCCGAACAGGATGGAAAGCAGGCGCAAAAAGACGCCAAATAAACGGGGAGAAAGAGAAAATGGAGCCAAAAGGTAGTGAGGAAAGATATAATGGGATAAGTAATCAGTAAGTGAGCATGGATAACACACAGAATAAAACATAGGGAAGGCCTGGAACCCTGGGCTCAAAGGTAACCAACATAATACCTAGTATAAAACAAGCATGCAATAAAACACAGAAAAAATTCCTTAATAACTGGATAAATGAAAGCAAAAATGAATTATTATCAAAAGGAGTAATAGAAGTTCAAACAACAATAAATAAATCATATAAATAACCAGAAATCAATAAGAGAATAGTAGTATAGTATGAGAGAAAATTTGTCATGTACTTATCTTTGGTCGGAGCAGCAAAGAAAGAGGAAATGTGTGGAGAGGTGCTGACTATTATACTGGGACTTGGTATGGGTGTGGTCTATCACTATGGTTACCATTTTTTTTTTTTCTTACTGTTGTATTCTTTGCTGCTATTGGTGGACAGTAAAGAAAGGGTTAAGCAATATGAGCCTCCGTGTCTTGACATAAAATTGAGGTATTCAACATCTAATGATCCCCACAATTTAAAAGCTAAAGTGAACATCAGCAAAATGTATCACAATGTAAAACATGGTTCTATAAACTTACACAATTAGTCAGGAATATACTAAACGTTTCCATTAAGTAACAACATGTCATATTTGTACATAATGCCAACTTCATTATTATGTTCTGACGCCAAGCATGGGGCAGAGACGGGGAACAAACAGAATTCACAGAACAAGTAGGCAGAAGAGACAATGTATACAGCCTTTAAACTAGCTCTGAGACAGAACGCATACATATCAGAGTACCGCTCAGTACAGTCTATTGCTGTTACTAGAAGGGACCTATAGAGACACTGAATGCTTCTCCATTCATCTTCTTCGAGAGGTGGTCATGGCGGTAGGAGTCTATACGTGCAGTACTTTTGCTTGAAACACTGCACACACACAGATATTTGTACGCATGGCACACGTGACTTAGACGGCCAGGAACTCTTTTCCGAGCTGCCTGTTTCTGTCAATTCAGAGCAAAAAATGATGAAAGAGCTTGAGTAACCTTTCAACTATTTCATTACAGTATATAAAGGGATAGTGAAAGTGTCAAAAGCATTTACATTTAAAGTGAAATCATCCCTTTTCTGGGAATTTACATCATTTAATAAAAAAAATAATATTTATTTACATTTTCTATGACTAGATTTTTCTCAGTTTGCTCCTTTGTTATAGATAGGATAAAAATTAGATTTTTGTTTGGAATGTCTATGCCTTTCACTACTTGTTCTCAATTAGTGATCTTGATTGAGGGCTTTAAAAATAAAATTTAAAAAATGGTTTTCTGATAACTTTTTGAAAATCCACATCCAAAGAGATAAATTTTTTTTTGGTTTATATTAAAATATATTACAGATTCTATTATCCATATACCCTTTCTACAACCCAGCCCTTTGGGGTTTCTTTCTTAATCCTACAGCCTTTTCAGTTTGTGGGATGAATTGGGGGTGGGGAAATTTGATGGGATATTTTCTCCATTCTTGTTTGAAAGAAGATGGCAATTCTTTCTTTTTGAGCTTGCACCCACAAAAAAAAAAAAAAATGAAATATTTAAACCCAGTTTGAGGCACTTCCAATTTTGCAAAAACTAGGACACAAATTCCTATTTGACCACAGAATGGCGGTCAGATTTATCCCAGGATCAAGAAGCCATTATCCTACAGTTGAAAACTTTCATCATGCAATATTCTGTTTTTGCAAGTATGCATCTAGTTGCTGTTTAAACATCTGTACAGACTCGGATAAAACCACTACTTCAGGCAGAGAATTCCACATCCTTATTGTTCTTACAGAAAAGAAAACAAAAACCTTTCCTTTGCCTTAGACTAAATCTTCTTTCTTCCAGTCTAAACGTATGACCTCGTGTCCTATGTATAGTCCGGTTTATGAATAGATTTCCACACAATGGTCTGTATTGGCCCCGGATATATTTGTATAATATATCCCCTCTGAGGTACGGTTTTTCTAAACTAAAGAGGTTTAAATTGGTTAACCTTTCATCATAGCTAAAATGCACCATTCCTTTTATTGATTTTCTAGCCCACCTCTACACTATTTCTAGTGCCATAATATCAGTCTTTACAAGTGCTCAAAATTGCACAGCATAGTCGGGATGTGGTCTTACCAGTGATTTATAAAGAGGCAAAATTAGATTCTCATCCCAAGAATGAATGCCCTTTTATGCATGACAATACCATACTGACCTTAGACTACAAACTAGGCAACAATGTGCAGTGGCTAACAATTCCAAAATCCTTCTCGTGTGTCGTTATCCCTAATTCACTACCAATTAGGGTTTAAGATGCTTGTGCATTCTTTACCCCAAAGTGCATAAACTATTTTTCTACATTAAAGGTCATCTGCCATTTAAGTGCCCAGTGTATCTATTTCCCTCTGCAGCAAAGTAATATCTTGCTCACATTGTATTACTTTACAGAGTTTTGTATCATCTGCAAACACTGAAGCATGGCTTTCAATGTCTATTTCAAGATCATTTATAAATATGTTAAACAGAAGGGGTCCCAGAACAGAACCCTGAGGGACACCACTTACCACCTCTGTGCAGCTTGAACATTTACCATTAATGACAACTCTTTGTACTCTGTTTTTAAACCAATGTTCTACCCAAGAACAAGAATTTTCATCTGGACCGATTGAGTTTGAACACTAATCTATTGTGTGGAACCGTATCAAATGCCTCTGCAAAATCCAAGTAGATCACATCCACTGCAAACACCCTGATCTAAAATTCTGACTGCTTTGTAGAATGCAGTCAAGTTAATTTGACATGACCTATGTTTCATAAAACCCATGCGGATTTTTGCTGATAACCACGTTCTTCTCAATGAATTCTTGATGATCCCTTAATAACCCTTCAAATACTTTCCCAGCCACAGAAGTTAAGCTCACAGGTCTCTGAATTCTCCCACAGATTTCGTATTTTTTCCGTTAACGTGCTTACAATCTTCACCCTTTATTTTTCTAATTGTTATAAGTCTTCCTCCACTTTATGTTGTATTATTAAATGCATTAGTTTGTAAGAACACTAATGTGGAAATTCATTCCATCATTAAAAAGATATAAAATAAAAATCCTCACTTGCCAATCCAAATGCAGACATTTTGTAAATGGTCAGTCCTCTAGGTACGAAACCTTTTTATATAACTTTCCATGGAAGCCATTTCCCACCATTTGTCTCTTAAGGCCTTGCTAGTACTCTAGGACTAAAAATCATAAGCCTTGCTTGGAGTATTCCTTTAAAAAAAATTTGCTTGTTGGCAGGATGCCAACCATCTGACCTCCAATGTGCACTGAGCCAACATTGGATTACTATTAACATAGCGAAACACTGTATTATACTATATGGGACAAACACTGAAGTGAAAATGCAAAAATGATGTCACCTGTCTCAGGCTCAGACTAAATCTAAGTAACACAATGTAATCTTTGAAGTAAGAGACTAATCAAGGTTTATTGTATAACATGTGCACATATAGCAATATTTACATGCTATATCTGATGCTCATTTATTACATTATTTATAATAAAAAAACAAATATTTTATGGTCATTTTCAACACTTTAAAAAAATTACAATTTCAAAGTGCCTTTGCATTCTCTTTTGCACCTCCTTTGCAATGCAGGATGTTTTCCCCACGTTTGTGGATCCGCGATATTAATTTCCCATACAGGTTGCACTCTAGGTCAGCGGTCCTGTAATACCAGTTCACTGTGTGGGTTGCTCTATGTAGGCCGGAGGTCCTGTGATATCAGCCTCCCGTACTGGCTGCTCTCGCGAGGCCATGGGTTCTGTGAGATCAGACAGCTTTTTTACATGCCTGACAGAGGTCCTGTGATATCAGACAGCTGTGCTTCCTTCTATCATAATAAAATGTTCCAAAGTGCATATAAGTCCCATGACTTACTGCTCAGCCCTTATGGTCTCACATACGGCACAGCTTCAGTGGGAAATTCTCTGTTATGAGGTGGTCATCATGCAGGACGACGACCACATTTACTTCAAACTCTGCAAAAAATAAACATTTCCAAATCACTTATTAGATACCTTTTAGAAGACTGTCAGCATACCTTAAACCTCTCAATTCAGATTGGAAAGTGGTACAGGAGTCACTTCAAGCCAAGTGAAAGCATTATTTATTTAGATAAATTCCTACATCCAGTTACATCGGTAACTGCTTGTGCCATATCCTAAGTTACAAATAAATGTTCTGGTGTTATTATTGTGCTTTGAGTGTCTCGTTAAAAGTCTATGTTGCCAGTCTTAGTGTATTCTAAGGTATCTAGTGATAATCTATCAAGGGTATTCTAAGTGAGAATTCAAGGTGAATTCAAAGTGAAGGTCAGAGTAGCTGAACTGGAAAAATTCTCCAAGTCAGCTATGGTTTCTACTCCGCTACTCTGGCCTTAAGTTTGAAATACACTTAGAATTTTCAGTAAATAACCTTGTTTACTTTATAAATTCATTTTCTGTAAACCTATATTCATATATGGAGGATGTCAACCATTAAATGTACACCCTCATATCAGAATATACATATTACCAATGCAACATAAATGCATACATACCAATTTTAAAGTTGGTAGTTTCCAGGGTAGGACAGGTAAACAGTCTAGGGAACACCATGTAGATGGGAATACGCAATCCTCTGCATACATCACCCTCTGCTATCTGGATGTTCTGGATCTCCGTGGCGTCTCGAGCGTAACCTTCAGCACAGCCTTTACACACAAATAAAAAACACAAAAAGCTAAATTTGCTACCATAAGGAAAAATCTAATATTTCAAGGCATGAATTTCAGTAATGTACCCAATTCAATGATTGGTACACGGTCAGTTAACTAAAAAGTTTTAATTATTTACTAAAGTGTTTAGTCAGGCCACACAGTTTGATATCCCAGGGATAAAGTGTAAAATCAGTAAGAGGAAACGGCACATGAATGATACATTGACAAGCATTTTTAGTAATGGAATTATTTTTTTTTTTTTTTTTTTTACAGAAAACAAAAAGTTAAAAATATTAGTTTTAAGAAGAAGTGAAGAAAACAAGTGCTAGTCTGGTCCAATGTCATGTAAAGACATAAACCTGGTTTTAGTCTGCAAACCCACCACAAGTTTCCACTCTGACTAGCTGAAGCTCGATACTTTTGATGGCCACTTCAGAAGTTTCCACTAGGAGTTCCCCTGTTAGCGGTTGTGTAATGACACAATTAGTGGAGTCCAGGTGCCCTCGAATGACAAACCTGGGCAGAGATGCCCTCTGTAAAACAGGAACAATGACATATGAAGCAAGCTCTATACTGAAGAATCTACAAGTAACCTGGTCCAAGATGTGCATCTCACATGTTCAAATACACCTGATGCCTATCCCTTCTATCAACAAATTACAACATCAGAGTGAGATACTTACTTCTTTAACATTCTGTAAAGTGTCCGGAGTAATTGTGAAATCCACAGGGTTTGGGGTCTGCTTTGTTTTCTGAGGCTAAAAACACAATCAAGAGCAGCCTGGGTCAGGCAAGTTTCCTTATTAACCAGATGTATAAAAAGGTATAATCAAACGAGTGACATGGGAACTACTTACATGACGTAACACCTTATCAGTACAATATCAACAACCCCAAACAAAGCAAACCTAGACAGCCAGCCCTTTATCCTGGGGTCGGGTCTGCATGGTTTATAATCATCTATATCAGTCTCCTAGTTTAAGTGAAGTATAAATGGCTAAAATGGGATAAAAATAAATAAATTTAAAAAAAAACCAAAAAAAAAAAAAAACCAAGTATGTGATAGAAGCCGGTATACTTTTGTATTCCTAACACTACAGTATGTGATTTAACCTTTCCCCTGCACTAACTGAGTTTAAAGTAGTGAACCCAGTATCCACAGAATGCAACATGAAAACAGAGGCTGACAAAGGATTTGGAAAGTTAGGAGATCTGTTTTGTCAGATATATATATATATATAAATAAATGTATAAACCTCTTGCTGATAAATAACGGTTTACTTAAAATGAATAGAAAGTGAGGTGTCATACCAATGAGTGAATGATGAACTCACAGGACTTGGACAAATCCTTGGCTAAAAGAGAGCGCTTCATGTCACAGCGGAGCGTATACTGTGAAGAGAAAAAGTTATTACCTCTTTTTAAATTTAAAAATAAATAAAGTTTAGAAACTGGCGCTGTACTCACACACTGCAACTATGACATAAGGGAACTCCTCTGGTTAAAGCTCTGTCTGCATATTACTGACGGCTTCTCTATCAATTCTGTATAAAACTGCCATGTTATGTTTTCACAATGAAAATCTAGCTCCTGTGAGGAGGGAACATTAGCAATATCCTTCCCAACATTCATTTTAGTAGCCAATTGTACACATGGATCTCAAATCAGAGCTGGATCTCTTACCTGGATATTAACAAACACACCATGGTAGGTCTCATAAAGGGTCTTATTGCCCTTCATGACCAGTGGAAATTCAAAAGGGATTTCAGTTTTGCCACTTGGAAGTTTACCAGGTTTCACCATTTCTACAGTGTTGCTAACGATTTGAATTGGCTGGAAAAAACAAAGAGAAAACAAAGCATTTACTAAAATAAATAAAAAATAAAAATTTTATAATAATAAATGTAATTAATTTTTTTTTTGTACTTTATTAAATACCAAAACAGAAAAGGGAAGATTCATATTTTGGTGAAACAGAACACTTTAAGACATGCATTAGTCTGACTTTCACTTCCCTCAATGGCTTTAATGAAAATGCACCTTTGTTTTGGAAATAGTGACCATGTCACATCTATGAAATCTTTTTGGCAGCAGTGCATCATTTGCTCTGCAGGCCTGTCTGATTCTGCCTAGTCTTATAAAGCTATTCATTAAAGTGTCACTTGTTGGAAATACGAAGTGAATGTCAAATATTAAGTGAAAACAACCAGAGTGAACACTACTTAATATACAACACAAAAAGAAGGTTGTTGAATATACTTAAAAGACAAAATGTGTATATAAAACATTTTAAATACAAAGACACATTGAACTTTTTTTTCTTTCAATAAAAGCTTGCCTTGTGTAATATAAAAGATCATACAGAACAAGCCACGTCTGTTTTATTTTATCCTCTAAACAAAAGGAAAGATTAAAATCACATAATTACTACTTTGTCAGGCTAGGATAAAGTTTCCTCTGATCAACAGATTGATGTGATTGAAATACGCGTGTCATGTGTATGATGAGCTCAGCTCTATAAAGTGATAAAATAGGTTTTATATTGGAAAACGGCTACAAATAGGGCGATAAGTTAGTGCCTTGTCACACGTACATTTTGCACCTGGAAAAAGTTTAATATGCAATACTGCAAGCCTTACCTTCACCGAATTATAAAATGCTTCAAAAACTCCCACACTCTTCGCACTGAGCTGTAAATTAACTGTTCCCTCCATTGTCAATGTGATGCCTTGGTGCTGAACTGCATCTTTACTCATTACAGCCACTACTCCAGACAATGTTTCCTAAAACACGTGCAAAGCAAGATTTATATTTTAGTGTATGAGGAATTCTCCATCAGTGATAGAAACTAGAACATGTAGTAAATTCATGCAAGTAAAATCGAAACACCCCAATGTAGAAACAGATAAATTGTTAAGGATTTTACTTGCAGATAAATGCATAATTGAAAAAAAAAAAAAAAAAGGGATGCCAACGCAACAAAATACATAATTTTTATACTTTACCACAAGGTGGCGCACGGATACTTAAAGGGACCCTATAGGCACCTACACCACTTCTCATCGTTTAAAGTGGTCTAGGTCCAGTGTACCTGTCCTATTAACCCTGCAATCAAAAACATTGCAGGGGTAAGATTACCAGACAGCCACTAGAAGTGCTTCCTGTTTCACAAAGTTTAACTCAGTGACGTCCTCACACACTATGTATGAGGACATCCAGCATCTCTAGTTTCCCTGGAAAACATTGTCCTATGCCGTACATTAGGTTCAATTTAAATTAAAACCCCTAGCCTGACCCTCAGAAGCCACTTTTAGGAAACAAATGTCACTTCTGCATTATCAACCCAAACCATGGATGATGATAGGGGAAGCTAATCACACATCTCTCAGCCAGTTATAACTGTATATGTTTTGAACAGCTGCAGAGTGGATAGAGTGAGGTCCCAGATTTTTTTTTAGTAGTGATCACAAGTCATTGTTAAGTTTATGAAGACTTTTATCCTAAAAAGAATACTTCTAAGAAACAAAATTGTCGTTTTTGCAAACTTCTTGGAATTATCACAGACTTAAAATGCCAATTTTCTACTACTTAAGCAGTGTTACCAATTGCAAGTGAAAATTCAGAACATGCATGTAGAAATTCACTGCTGGCAAGTGTGCTATGGACAATACAAGCTTGCAGCGGCAAGTAACTTTTAGACCAGACTAGAAGCAAAGAAATTGGAATTATGAGCCCTGGGAAAGCAATTTTGTAGGAGACTGTCTCAAGTGAAAAATGAACACGTACCAACAAATTCCAGGAAGCACTTTGGTAATTGGTTAAATGGGTGGCATATTTATTATAGTTCTTTAACTATTTACAATATTTTGTCATGTTTTTAAAAAGAAAGTAATAAGTCATGAGTAATAGACATATTAAAAAAGTGCGAGGAGCACCGAAAAATAATGGGCATTCAGCTTTAGGAGTATAGTAATATAATTGCTTTAGCTATCTTATCTTGTTTTAGCAAGGTAGATAGTTTGTCACTGTAGATTTGAAGCAAACACATTTTGAAGTATTTATTTCAACTTTAATTCATGTATTCTGGAGAAAAATGGGATGTCTATCTACAAGAATTAATTAAATTAAGGAAATGCATTGGGCTAAAAATCCTCTAACTACACATGAAAAATGAAATACAAACACAAAACGGGCTGGTTTAATTATAGGTATCAATTGATTCACACATGGATAAAAAGATTGAACTTAGAAAAAAAATGCAATCATTAAAGCGACACTGTGTAGTTAAAAATGGGTGCCCTCAAAATGTAAGGGTAAGCAAAGAGAAACCGTAAAATTAGATACATACATATATGCATTACAAGTTACTACACACAAAGCCTATAATACTGGCAAAATTTTACATAATAAAAAGGATGAGAGGTTTTCCTTTGACACGTGAGCAGCATTTTAAGGAACTAAAGTAACTTGCTGGTATAGCTTACAGGTGACTCACCTTAAAAAATAAAAAATAAAAAGTATATTTACTAAGCTCTGGGGTGAAGAGTAGTCCCAGAAGATGTAGAACTGCAAATCTAATGATGCTCTGTACAGCCACATGGGTGGCAAAGCAGCATGGGATTTTTAGTTCAACAACTTGAGGAAAGGGTTTTCACTTAAATCCCCTGAGCCAGAAGGAAACTAATCTATGGCATTGAGAACTAAAAGCCCCATGATGCTTTATTAGCCTTCAGATTGGCAAGGCATCATGGGATTTGTAGTTCAATAAAAGTTGAGGAGAGGAATTTCTCTTGGATCCCCTGAGCCTCGAGAACTACAAGGCCCATAATGCTCTATTAGCCTTAAGTGGGGCTAAGCATCATGGGATTTGTAGTTCAATAAAAGTTGAGGAGAGGAATTTCTCTTGGATCCCCTGAGCCAGTGAAAAACAAATCCAGAGCCTCGAGAACTACAAGGCCCATAATGCTCTATTAGCCTTCAGGCGGGCAAAGCATGATGGGAGTTGTAGTTCAGCCGCTGGTTGCTCTCCTCCATGGTCCCTGTAGCTGTCAGTGAGTGGTGTCAGTGCTGAGCACGTGTAACAATGCAGGGTCCCATCTCACGGCTCTTACCCCTTCCCTGTAGACTTTATTGGCCCGCTTCAGCTTGATATCCAGCACGGTGCCCATCTTGGAGCTCCCTCCAGCACTGCGCCTGTACAGCAACGGGGAGGTCAGCTGACGCAGGGAGCGGGGCATCATGGGACGTCACGTGAAGGGAGAGAGAGGGAGAAAAAAAAACATCAACAAGCTTTATTTATCAACGGGTCAGATTTATGGGAAGCATAGCAACTGGGCCTGCTGTTACCATGACGACCGGTGCCGTCACCTTGATGACGCACTCATGATAGAAATGCGCGGGAGAAAGAGAGTGGCTCTTCCCATCCCATGGCCCCAGTCTGCATCATCACACACAGCCCCCCACAGCCCTCCATGATCCCAGTCACCATAATAACACACAGCCCTCCATGATCCCAGTCACCGTAATAACACACAGCCCTCCATGATCCCAGTCACCGTAATAACACACAGCCCTCCATGATCCCAGTCACCGTAATAACACACAGCCCTCCATGATCCCAGTCACCATAATAACACACAGCCCTCCATGATCCCAGTCACCATAATAACACACAGCCCTCCATGATCCCAGTCACCGTAATAACACACAGCCCTCCATGATCCCAGTCACCATAATAACACACAGCCCTCCATGATCCCAGTCACCATAATAACACACAGCCCTCCATGATCCCAGTCACCATAATAACACACAGCCCTCCATGATCCCAGTCACCGTAATAACACACAGCCCTCCATGATCCCAGTCACCATAATAACACACAGCCCTCCATGATCCCAGTCACCATAATAACACACAGCCCTCCATGATCCCAGTCACCGTAATAACACACAGCCCTCCATGCCCAGTCACCATAATAACACACAGCCCTCCATGATCCCAGTCACCGTAATAACACACAGCCCTCCATGATCCCAGTCACCATCATCACACACAGCCCTCCATGATCCCAGTCACCGTAATAACACACAGCCCTCCATGATCCCCACCATCACAGTCCATCCCAGTCACCACACACAGCCCTCCATGATCCCAGTCACCGTAATAACACACAGCCAGCCCATGATCCCAGTCACCGTAATAACACACAGCCCTCCATGATCCCAGTCACCATCATCACACACAGGCCCCCATAGCCCTCCATGAGCCCAGTCACCATCACCACTCACAGTCCTCCATGAACCTAGTCACCGTAATAACACACAGCCTTCCATGATCCCAGTCACCGTAATAACACACAGCCCCCCATGATCCCAGTCACCATAATAACACACAGCCCTCCATGATCCCAGTCACCGTAATAACACACAGCCCTCCATGATCCCAGTCACCATAATAACACACAGCCCTCCATGATCCCAGTCACCGTAATAACACACAGCCCTCCATGATCCCAGTCACCGTAATAACACACAGCCCTCCATGAACCCAGTCACCGTAATAACACACAGCCCTCCATGAACCCAGTCACCGTAATAACACACAGCCCTCCATGATCCCAGTCACCGTAATAACACACAGCCCTCCATGATCCCAGTCACCATAATACACACACAGCCCTCCATCCCAGATCCCAGTCACCGTAATAACACACAGCCCTCCATGATCCCAGTCACCATAATAACACACAGCCCTCCATCCCAGTCACCATCATCACACACAGGCCCCCAGTCAGCCCAGTACCATCACCACTCACAGTCCTCCACCTAGTCACCATCATTCCTCCATGAACCCAGTCTCCATCATCACCAGCCCTCCATGAACCTAGTCATCATATCTCCTTACATCCCTCCATGGCTCCAGTCAGTATCACTTCTCATAGTCCTCCATGAACCCAGTCAGTATCACCACTCACAGCCTTCCATGAACCCAGTCACCATCTCTCCTCACAGCCCTCGATGGCTCCAGTCAGTATCACCACTAACAGCCCTCCATGCTTCCAGTCAATATAACCACTCACAGCCCTCCACGGCACCAGTCAGTATCAGCCCTCACAGCCCTCCATGGCTCCAGTCAGTATCACTCCTCACAGCTCTCCATGATCCTAGTCACCATATCTCCTCACAGCCCTTCATGGCCCCAGTCACCATCTCTCCTCCCAGCCCTCCATGGTCCCAGTCAGTATCACCCCTCACAGCTCTCCATGATCCTAGTCACCATATCTCCTCACAGCCCTTCATGGCCCCAGTCACCATCTCTCCTCCCAGCCCTGGTCCCCAGTCAGCATCACTCCTCGCGGCCCTCCATGGCTCCAATCAATTATCTCCTCCGCCCTCCATGGTCCTCCTGGCTCTCCATGGCCCCAGTCACCATCTCTCCTCACAGCCCTCCATGGCCCCAGTCGCCACCACTCCTCACAGTCCTCCATGGTCCCAGTCAGCATCACTCCTCAGTCCTCACAGCTCTCCATGGCCCCAGTCACCATCTCTCCTCACAGCCCTCCATGGCCCCAGTCGCCATTGTTATGGATAGAAACTAATATAGGTAAAATGTCTATTTACTGTATACACCTGTGTTCATCATTTACTCAAAATGGCTGCTAAGGCACCCCCTCCCATCGACCAAACACCTTGTGTAACAAGATGGCATCTCCAACTGGAGTAAAATCCCTAGATGATGGTGACATCATACTTTGGAGGAAGTGCATTAGATAAGACACTTAACACTTGACTAATTAAAGATGTACTTTCTATGTTATCTCATGTTTTGCATATGATGTATTTTGTGGTTTATAAGGGGCTTGCCGCCCCTCTAAGTAAACATTCTGAAGTTTTTCATTTACCTGAAACCTGTGTCTCAGTGTGATTTACTTCAAAGTGCACGCACCTTATTTCAAACAATCTGGACAGGGGCAGATACTCAAATTGACAAAGACTTGGTTTGGTCTAGAACACCATCACTCCTCACAGCCCTCCATAGTCCCAGTCAGCATCATCATTTAGCCCTCCATCCAGATTCCAGTGTGTATTATAGATTTCCACAACACTAAAACTCACAGTTGTGTGTATCACAGAACTCAACAGCAATAAACCCCATAGTAATGTGCATTGTATATAACAGAGCTCAACAGCAATAAAACTCACAGTAATATGTATGTGTGTATTACAGTGCTTTACAGCATTAAAACTTACAAAGCTTTTTTTAAAATAAGTAATTTGTGGTGCGTATGGGTTTATCACAGAGTTCCACAGCTGTATAATCCATTATAATTCATATTTATGTAGCAGTTAGTGGTTCGGTTTTTATAATTGAAATACTTTGCTTTTGTTTAAAATTAAATTTAAAGCGGTTCTGTTATGGCGATATAATTTATTGGTAGTTCAGAAAAATAGTATCACTTCTATCCTTATGACGTGCAAATCTATCTGCCTTCTTTCTCTGTCCCTTTTAAATCGTGTCTCTGACTACTACCCTCTGCTATTTCGACTTGGTTGGCTGCTTACTTCCTTAAACTCAAGCTCTCCAAAACAGAACTTCTCCTCTTTCCTCCTTCAACCCTGCTACTCCCATGTCAGTCTCACTCCAAGTCAACGGCACTACCATCATTTCTACCTCACAGGCTCGCTGCCTTTGCGGTTTATTTGCTCCAACATCTCCTTCACCCCTCACATCCATTCAATTACCAAGCTTCCATCTCGAAAACATAGCTTGCCTCCACCCCTGTCTAACACTGTATGGGACTAAGGTGCACTTCTCACTGGTCTCACGTGTTCCCAGCTTGCCCCGCTACACTACTGCTGCAGTAAGGCTTATTTTCCTGTCCTCCCAAGCCTCCCCCTCTGTCAGTTCTTACACTGGCTTCCCGTAAGATATAGGACTCAATTTTAAATTCTGGTTACCACATACAAATCTTTATAACACTGCTTCTCTGTTACTATCCTCACGAATCTAGAAGTATATCCCATCAAGGCCCCACATGCTCTGCCAAAGAATTTGTGTCTATCCTCTGTTCTTGCTTTCACCTCTGTTGCCTTTAAGACTTCTCTAGGGTGGCCTCTTCTGTTGGAACCCCCTTCCCCGCTTCATTAGACCGCCACCCAGTCTCCAGTCCTTCAAAAAATCACTGAAAACTAATTTCTTCAAGATGGCATCACAGCTTTTCCTCCCTACACCTCACTAACACACCTTCTCTCATACAACTGAATCATCTGATAAACTAAGCCTTCATTGTAAACTCTTCTAGCAACTTTTCCATCATTTGAAATATATCTTACCACTGTGTCATTTACCTCACTCCCTTCAAAGTGTTAATTTTATCGAGGTGGTCTGGGTACACTATCCCTGTCCCTTTTAGAGAAACTAAACGACTACCTTTAGTGGCTGTCTACTAGGAGACAGTCCCTCGGCGCTGGAATCAGGTAAGTGTGTAAAAGGTTTTAAGGCCTTTGAATGTCACTGGTACAAAGGTACAATCCATGGTTACAATCCATGGTTAAAGGTACAATCCATGGTTACAATCCATGGTTAAAGGTACAATCCATACACGTAGTGCCCTGACCTAGCGCCATCTAAATGTAATCTTTTAAAACCATTTCAGCATGACCTAATACTTAAAGTGACACTGTAGTCACCAGAACAACTACAGCTTATTGAATTTGTTCTGGTGAGTAGAATCATTACCTTCAAGCTTTTTGCTGTAAACACTATCTTTTCAGATAAAATGCAGTGCTTACAATACAGCCTAGTGTTAACTTCACTGGCCACTTCTTAGATGGCTGTTAGAGATCCTTCCTGGGTCATGGCTGCCTAAAATGCATCCAAACACTCCTCCCTCTGCATGCAGACACTGAACTTTCCTCATAGAGATTCATTGATTCAATTCAACTCTAGGAGGAGATGCTGATTGGCCAGGGCTGTGTTTGAATTGTGCTGGCTCTGCCCCTGATCTGCCTCCTTGACAGTCTCAGCCAATCCTATGGGGAAGCATTGTGATTGGATCAGGCCACCACTTCTGATGATGTCAGCAGACAGGTTTTGACTATTGACTATTCTGAGGCAAACAGCATGCAGAGCTACAGCTTCGGGCTTGAATAAAAGTAAGAGTTTGCTTTTTTTTAGGGAGGCATGAGGGGCCAGGGGGGCTAGATGGTGGTTTTAACACTATAGGGTCAGGAATACATGTTTGTGTTCCTGGCCCTATAGTGCTCCTTTAATTTTTTTTTACACCAGAGACAAGTATCCAAAAGCACATGAGAGCATTCCAGTAAGTTCATTCCAACACAAGGATTAAATCAACGTTCTGCTCCTCAGAGTTTTCAGTTACCTGCTTTGCAGGGACAGAGATGTCTGTCAACCTGGCATACTGAATTGGCATTCCTCCTTTGCAGTTACACATTGCCATTGCCCACAGTGGGCTAGTCATGTTTACCAGCGAATGTTTTATTTATATTGATTTTTTAAATCTGTCACTCTAAGCAACATAAATCACAATTTGCAAACATCACTGCAGATATAAAACTATCCTCCTGAGTCTCTGACATCAAATATATGAAGAGAAAAGTAAAAAAAGGAAAAATTTGGGTACCTTCCTTAAAGGGACACTATAGGCACCCGGACCACATCCAGCCATTGAAGTGGTCAGGATACCATGTCTCTATTGCCCTTAGTCCTGCAATATTAAGCATTGCAGCTTTAGAGAAACTGAACTGCTTACATTTCAGATCTAAGACAGCCTCTAGTGGAGATCTCAGAGATCTTTCCGGACTTTAGGTCGCCTAACTAGCACTGGATGCCCTCATGCTGTCAGGATTCCTTAGAGACCCAACAGCAGGTCTAATAGAGGAACGTATACTGGGCCTTAGAATGGCCAGACTTAACGTTACACAGATAAAGAATGGGCAGGGATAAGCTAAGGTCGAGGGAGCCAGAAGTCACAGAATCAAGGAATACAAGCCAAATCAAGGGAACCAGAAATCACTGTAGCGAGATACCAAAGCCGGGTCAGGAATACAGAAATGAGAATGGTCAGAAAGCCGAGTTTAAAACACAAGATATACAGTTAAGCAAAGTACTATTGGGAACTGTAAGTAGAACCACAAAGGGGCAAAGATCTATGGGTGAATCTGCCTTTTATATGCTGTTTTTTTAAATTTGAGGGGGTGGAGCTTAAGCGGACGGCGTTCGAACTGCTGGAGGGAAGCCCAGGAGTGTGGAGAGGTTCCCTCTTTGTCTACAAGCTGTCCCCAACCAAGGTAAGCATGACAGAACTCCCCTCTCGAGAACCGCCCACCGGGCAGGAAGAACCAGGACAAGAGTCTAGGATGGAAATAGGAAACCAACGGAAATCCCCTTGAAGTGACAGTAGAAAGGAGAACAGGAGGATTAAAACCATAATTGAGGAAGAACGGGCTGAAACTAGTGGCTTCACATATCATGCTCTGATACAAAACATCTCAAATATTGTTCGAGCATTTGGTTGGTATGTTCAGCCGCTCCATTGGACTGAGGGTGATAAGCAGATGAAAAACAGAGCTTAATTCCCAGTTGAGTACAGAACTCTTTCCAAATTCGGGAGACTAATTGGGAACCCCTATCAGATACTTCCCTTGGGATGCCATGCAATCGACTTCTTTTGCGAATATGTTGGCTAATTCAGGTGAAGACAGTAACTTCGTAAGTGGTATAAAGTGTGCCATTTTGGAAAACTTGTCTATTACAGTCAATATAACAATTTTCTTATTAGATATGGGTAATTCTACAATAAAATCAATTGCTATGCTAACCCAAGGTTTATTTGATATCCGTAAAGGTTATACAAAAATACAGTTTTAGACCACCCAGGTGCAGTGTATATAGATAATAAAAAAGATAATTACTTCCTTTTTAGTTTGGTATAACAAAGGATTCCTCTCAATCCTCAAAACATATGGAAAAAATAGGATATACCTAAACCTATAAAATAAAGAAAAAAAGGCTCATAGGGAAATAACGTAAATTCACAGATAGCCCCTTATTTCAATGTCACACTCCCAAAATTGAAGTAATCTTCAGGCTCATCAATCCACTGTAGGCTCTCACGAATTCCCCATAACTAGGATGACGAATGTTGGGAAATACTGAAGTATTTCCTGTAACGGAACCGCTGGCACCCCGACCGGGTACCTTCCGCCGACGGATGCTCCTAGTGCTTTCCGAGGACTCCAAGCACTCTGCCTGACACCATAACCACTACAGACCCCACGAACCGCCGCAGCTTGGTTGGGGTCTCGCCGTCTCCACCCACTCTGGACCCAGGACCAGGGTCCAGCTTTCAGCAGGTCGACCTCTCTCCGAATTCCAGAGAGCAGGAACAGGAACAAGCTCTTAGCAGAGCTTAGTGATTATACCCTGGGGAGTATAGTGATTATAGCAATCCCCAGAGTGTAGTTTCTCCAATCCCCCAAACATGAGCCGAAACTTCATGAAGGTACAAGATGATCTGACTCAATGAGCGTTTATTACTCCTTATATACAAGTTTTCAGGTCAGAGGCACACCCCTGGACCTGGTGGTAAACTGTGACAAAAGGGACACAAACCAATGGGAACACTAATTAACATGATAACACTCTCACATAAACAATGAAATCCCTCCTCTCCATCCTGGAGATAATTGGCTTAAGGCACTGCAGTAAACTCAATTATCTCCAGGTACAGAAAATATCTACATTTTAAACTAACAGCAAAAATACGTAAAAGTACATAAAAATACATAATTCTTATTATATTACACAGAACCCCCACATTTAACCTATCCCCAGATAGCTCGGATCTGAGCACCCAATCTAGGTGAACAATAGACAGGAAACGGGGGAGGGGAAGAAACACACCTTCCCATGGATTCCAATGGGAAGAAACTGTCTTTAGAAGCCAATAAGCCCCAAATAGTATTTTTTAAATAGCAATACACCCCAGGGCCATAGTCATGAGGAAGGAGGCTGGCAATCAGGCTCCTCCAAAAGCCGGGGGCAAAGGGCAGCTTGTCACCTAACAATCTAGGGACAAAAGGCATTTCGTCACATTTCCCAACGTTCATCATTCTAGCTATGGGAAATTCATGAGAGCCTACGGTGGATTGATGAGCCTGAAGATTACTTCAATTTTTCCCCATAGCTAGGATGACAAATGTTGGGAAATACTCCAACATTCATCATCCTAGCTATGGGGAATTCGTGAGAGCCTACAGTGGATTGATGAGCCTGAAGATTACTTCAATTTTGTGAATGTGACATTGAAATAAGGGGCTATCTGTGAATTTACGTTATTTCCCTATGAGCCTTTTTTTCTTTATTTTATAGGTTTAGGTATATCCTATTTTTTCTATCTGTAAAGGTTGCAACAATCCACACGGAAGTGTGTGGGGTTGTTTATTCCTAGAACAGGTATCACATGCCAGTATATAGTCCCTAACATCTTTCCGCAAGGAGGGCCACCAATACTCTGTGGCATTCAGAGAGTACGTTTTCTTCATACCAGGATGACCAGCGGTTTTACTGTCATGATGATAGGCAAGTATAGCTTGTTGATGTTCCGAAGGAATGTATAATTTATCAAGAGGAGTCGAGTTGGGGGTCTGATTCTGGTTGGATATTATGTCATCAACAAGCTCAGAATGTATAGTGAGATTGGTATGCGCTATGATATGAGAGTGTGGTATAACAGTAAACAAATCTGTTATACGACCTATTTGAGGTTCATGTTGGAGTGATAGAGCATCAACATTATTATTTTTTGTCCCTTTTCGATAAGGTAAAATATAGTTGAATTTTGACAAGAAAAGGGATCAGCTTTATTGGCTTGTAGTGGATCTTTAGTTCCCAGCGATAACTGAATGCTGAAGCAATGCGCCGAGAAAGCTCTATAACATGAGCATGATTGAATCTTCTTATTGTGGAGAATGATCAAAATTTAAGATCAATCATGGCAAGAAAAATTGTTAAACTCCTCATTTTAAAAAGGGATTGCACCAGTAATGAACATCCTGGCGTACTAAGGATTCCTAATTTACACAACATTATCACACACAGGTGTGGGCAATCTTAATCTGAATGTTGAGGTGCCTCACTCTGAGTGGACCCCTCGAATATATTTTCAGAATTTCCCATGAAAGTTTATGTTGAGAAAGCACAAAGGGTTGCGATATGCGTCCAGGGTACTTGCATCACTTGCTTTTTGGGTAGTGGTTTGGGTGGTCTCTCCGTTGTCTGGCAGTAGCAGGTATTGCAACAATTTGTTATTCCTCTAATTCATCTATCCTATTTTTGCAAAGCTTGTTTTTTTTGCATGGCTATCTATGCTATTTTTGGAGACAACATGTTTGTGACAAGACCAATCTCGCCACATTGCATTGGAGAAGCCTGGTTGCTCGCCTGTTGCCTTTAGATTTGGATGGCTGGATTTTCCCCTGCAAAGACATGAAAGCCGGGTCATTTGGTGCTTGCCCTGTTTGAGCGGTGATTCCCCAGATAGCTATGCCATGGAGCCCATTCGTATAATGAAAGACTATGGGAAAGACTTTGGCTCCATGGCAATTGAACTTTATGTGTGTGCTCTGAACGCCATTCAGTAATAATGTGCGCTCAGATCTGA